TATATACTGTATTTAAGGTCCCCTCCCTGGGCTGCCACCTTACCGTGGTGGAGGGGTTTGAGTGTCCCAATGATCCTAGGAGCTATGCTGTCAGGGGCTTTATGCCCCTAGTAGGGTCACCCATGGCAGACAGGTCCTAGGTGAGAGACCAGACAAAGTGCAGCCCAAACACACCCCTATGATGAAAAACACAAATGGACCTAGTGTTCCCTTGCCCGGACGTGGGTCACCGGGGCCCCACTCTGGAGCCAGGCCTGGAAGTGGGGCACGTGGGCGAGTGCCTGGTGGCCGGGCTTTTACCCATGGAGCTCGGCCGGGCACAGCCCGAAGAGGAGACGTGGGTCCCCCTTCCCATGGGCTCACCACCTGTGGGAGGGGCCAAAGGGGTCGGGTGCAATGTGGGATGGGTGGTGGCCGAGGGCGGGGACCCTGGCGGTCTGATCCTCGGCTACAGAAGCTGGCTATTGGGACGTGGAATGTCACCTCACTGGTGGGGAAGGAGCCTGAGCTGGTGTGTGAGGCTGAGAGGTTCCGGCTAGAAATAGTCGGACTCACCTCTACGCATGGCTCGGGCTCTGGAACCAGTTTCCTTGAGAGGGGCTGGACACTCTTCCACTCTGGAGTTGCCCCTGGTGAGAGGCGCCGAGCAGGCGTGGGCGTACTAATTGCCCCCCAACTTGGTGCCTGTGTATTGGGGTTCACCCCCGTGAATGAGAGGGTGGCCTCTCTCCGCCTACGTGTGGGGGGACGGGTTCTGACTGTCGTTTGTGCTTATGCACCAAACGGCAGTTCAGATTATCCACCCTTTCTGGAGTCCTTAGAGGGGGTACTGGAAAGTGCACCTTCTGGGGACTCCCTTGTTCTGCTGGGGGACTTCAATGCTCATGTGGGCAATGACAGTGAGACCTGGAGGGGTGTGGTTGGGAGGAACGGCCCCCCTGATCTGAACCAGAGTGGTGTTCTGTTGTTGGACTTCTGTGCTCGTCATGGATTGTCAATAACGAACACCTTGTTCAAGCATAAGGGTGTCCATATGTGCTCTTGGCACCAGGACACCCTAGGCCGCAGTTCGATGATCGACTTTGTCATCGTCTCATCTGATCTGCGGCCACATGTCTTGGACACTCGGGTGAAGAGAGGGGCGGAGCTGTCAACTGATCACTACCTGGTGGTGAGTTGGCTCCGATGGTGGGGGAGGATGCCGGTCAGACCTGGTAGGTCCAAACGTATTGTGAGGGTTTGCTGGGAACGTCTGGCAGAGTCTCCTGTGAGACGGAGTTTCAACTCCCACCTCCGGGAGAACTTTGAACATGTTCCAAGGGAGGTGGGGGACATTGAGTCTGAGTGGACTATGTTTCGTGCCTCTATTGTCGAGGCGGCTTACCAGAGCTGCGGCCGCAAGGTTGTCGGTGCCTGTCGGGGCGGCAACCCTCGAACCCGATGGTGGACACCGTCGGTGAGGGATGCTGTCAGGCTGAAGAAGGAGTCCTATCGGGCCTTTTTGGCCTGTGGGACCCTGGAAGCAGCTGATGGGTACCGGCAGTCCAAGCGACATGCGGCTCGGGTGGTTGCTGAGGCAAAAACTCGGGCATGGGAGGAGTTCGGAGAGGCCATGGAGAACGACTTCCGCACGGCTTCGAGACGTTTCTGGTCCACCATCCGGCGTCTCAGGGGGGGGAAGCGGTATGCCACCAACACTGTTTATAGTGGGGGTGGTTTGCTGCTGACCTCAACTCGGGATGTTGTGGGTCGGTGGGCGGAATACTTTGAAGACCTCCTCAATCCCACCGGCACGTCTTCCACTGAGGAAGCGGAGCCTGGGGACTCTGGGTCGGGCCCTCCAGTCTCTGGTGCTGAGGTCACCGAGGTGGTTAAAAAGCTCCTCGGTGGCAGGGCCCCAGGGGTGGATGAGATCCGCCCAGAGTTCCTTAAGGCTCTGGATGTTGTAGGGTTGTGTTGGCTTACGTGACTCTGCAATGTTGCGTGGACATCGGGGGAAGTTCCCCTGGATTGGCAGACCGGGGTGGTGGTCCCCCTATTCAAAAAGGGGGACCGTAGAGTGTGTTCCAACTACAGGGGAATCACGCTCTTAAGCCTCCCTGGTAAGGTCTATTCGGGGGTTCTGGAGAGGAGGGTCCGTCGGATAGTCGAACCTCGGATTCAGGAGGAACAGTGCGGTTTTTGTCCTGGCCGTGGAACACTGGACCAGCTCTACACTCTCAGCAAGGTCCTGGAGGGTGCGTGGGAGTTTGCCCAACCAGTCTACATGTGCTTTGTGGACTTGGAGAAGGCTTTCGACCGCGTCCCTCGGGGGGCCCTGTGGGGGGTACTCTGGGAGTATGGGGTACCAGGCCCTTTGATACGGGCTGTTAGGTCCCTGTATGACCGGTGTCAGAGCCTGGTCCGCATCGCCGGCAGTAAGTCGGGCTTGTTCCCGGTGAGAGTTGGACTCCGCCAAGGTTGCCCTTTGTCACCGATTCTGTTCATAACTTTTATGGACAGAATTTCTAGGCGCAGCCAAGGTGTTGAGGGGATCCGTTTTGGTGGACTCAGAATTGCGTCTCTGCTTTTTGCAGATGATGTGGTCTTATTGGCTTCATCAGATCGTGATCTACAGCTTTCGCTGGAGCGGTTCGCAGCCGAATGCGATGCGGCCGGGATGAAGATCAGTTCCTCCAAATCCAAGGCCATGGTCTTGAGCCGGAAAAGGGTAGAGTGCCCTCTCTGGGTCAGGGAGGAGGTCCTACCCCAAGTGGAGGAGTTCAAGTATCTTGGGGTCTTGTTCACGAATGAGGGAAAAATGGAGCGTGAGATCGATAGGCTGATAGGTGCAGCGTCTGCAGTGAAGCGGGCGCTGTACAGGTCTGTCGTGGTGAAGAGAGAGCTGAGTCAAAAGGCGAAGCTCTCAATTTACCGATCGATCTACGTTCCCACCCTCATCTATGGTCACGAGCTTTGGGTTGTGACCGAAAGAATGAGATCTCGGATACAAGCGGCCGAAATGAGTTTTCTCCGCAGGGTGTCTGGGCTCTCCCTTAGAGACAGGGTGAGAAGCTCGATCATCCGGGAGGGACTTGGAGTAGAGCCGCTGCTTCTCCACATCGAGAGGAGCCAGTTGAGGTGGCTTGGGCATCTGTTTTGGATGCCTTCTGGACGCCTCCCTGGTGAGGTGTTCCGGACACGTCCCACCGGAAGGAGGCCCAGGGGAAGACCCAGGACACGCTGGAGGGACTACGTTTCTCGGCTGGCCTGGGAACGCCTCGGGATTCCCCCGGAAGAGCTGGCCCAAGTGGCTGGGGAGAGGGAAGTCTGGGCCTCCCTACTTAGGCTGCTACCCCCGCGACCCGACCCCGGATAAGCGGAAGAAAATGGATGGATGGATGGATGTATTTAAGGTACCACAACATGTTAATTAAATAATGACCATCCAGCCATTATCTTTACCCGCTTCGTCCTTTTCGGGTCGCGGGGGTCACCGGTGCCCATGTCCAGCAATCACAGTGCTAGAGGTGGGGGACACCTGGACAGGTCTCCAGTCCATCACAGGGACACATAAACGAGACAAACAACCATTCACTCTCTCACTCACACCTAGAGACAATTTAAAGTTACCAATCAGCCTAACATGCATGTTTTTGGTCTGTGGGAGGAAACCGGAGTACCTGGAGAAAACCCACACATGCACGGAGAGAACATGCAAACTCCACCCAGAAAGGCCCCCGGACCGGGATTTGAACCGGGGACCTGCTCGTTGAGAGGCAGCAGTTGCACCACTGTGCTGCTAAATTATGACTGTAAATTCAAACTGTATTAGAATGGAATGTATTAGATTCAAGCAATTCAAAAACATTACAACAGAAGTTTTATTACACGATGTGCGGTGTCATGCACCGTTTTCCAACATTTACAGAAAAGATTGTTTTAGAAATGAATAGTCATTCTAAATTTTCTTCTGATAACTCTGTTCAAAGAGGTTAAGCACATTTATCACCAAAGTGTTACACCACCTCTCGTTTAGCAACATTCAGTTTGACTACTTGGAAATATAAAAGATGCAGTTTTCAAAATTTTGATTAATACTTTTCTCCGGCATCATAACTACACCATCATGATGCAGTTTTAACTGTGCACTAATAACAGGCTAAACAGTAAATTCATAATTTACAATATTGTGTACAACTCAATGGATTTATTGTGGTGGATACTAAAAAACAGCCAAAGATAATGATAATGTCTTATGTGTTGTCATCAGTGTATGTTCCCGTACAACGGCGAAATTGGCTCTCTGCATTTAACCCATCGCACCTGGGATACACTCAGGTGGAGCAGTGGGCGGCTATGGCGCCCGGGGGGCAATTGGGGATGGGGTGTCCTGCTCAGGGGGATCATGAGATGTGAAATGACTGGAGATCGAGCCTGGGTCTTTCGGGTCCCAGGTCGGCTGCCCTGCCTCTACCCCATCTCGACCCCCTAAGAAGGGTTTATTGATTTTCACTTGACTCTAAAATGAGTCCTCATTCAGAAAGGGCAGCACTGTTCCTAGACTGATTACGAGTTTGTTTAGGATTATTTTACATGGCAGAAGCTATAGGTTTACTAGTTGACTCGGTGAGAGGATGACAGAATTGTCTGTAAAAAAAAAAAAGGGGTGGGGGGGAATGTTCAAAGATTATAACCATAGTTACATGTAAAAACAATTTTGTTAATTTGTTTAGAGCCTTTAAATCACATTGTGCAGTTCTACCTTAGAAGATATCTTTTTTTTTTTTTTTTACAATTCTATATAAAGTTTATTATTGAACATAACAAAAATGGCAAAGCATTCTTCATTAAGATGTAAACCCCTTTCCATAATTCTTTCTGCTGTATTCACATATTTGGATTTTTCTTTTTACATATACAAGTCTAGGCTGGACTATTGCAATGGTTTGTTATCTGGGTGTCCACATACTTGTTTAAAAAGTCTTCAGTTGATCCAAAATGCTGCTGCCAGACTCTTAACTGGAGTTAGTAGGAGAGATCATGTCTGTCCATTTTTAGCTTCTCTCCATTGGCTCCCTGTTAAATCCAGAATTCAGAATCTTACTTCTAACCTACAAAGCTCTCAACAGCCTAGCTCCAGCTTATATTTGAGATGTTATTGTTCCATATTTTCCTAACAGAGCACTTCATTCTCAGACTGCAGGTTTATTTGTGGTTCCTAGAGTTTCCAAAAGCAGAATGGGAGGACGATTGTTCAGTTGTCAGGCTCCTCTCTTGTGGAACCAACTTCCAGTTTCTGTCCATGAGGCTGACACATTGTCCAGTTTTAAGACTGGGCTTAAGATTGTCCTTTTTGATAAATCCTATAATTAGGGTTGGCTTGTTATGATGTCAAGCTTAGACTAATAGAGGACAAACTGAGCTAATTTCCTTAAATGATTTGCTAAAATTGAATAGTATTCATCTGATACAATTCCTATCTTAACATGTGATTCTCGACCTGCCATTGTGTATCTGTTCCTACCAAACCCAGCCAAGTATGACCGCTTGTCCTGAGCCTGGTTCTGCTAAAGGTTTCTTCCTCAAGAGGGAGTTTTTCCTTTCCACTGTCGCCTTCATGCTTGCTCAAGATGAGAATTCTGCGATGGCGTTAAACTCAAAGCAGTCTGCTCCTCATAAATAATGTTAAATTATTTTTATATATGAATGTTTCTATTCATTGCCCTGAGATGGATTCTGTTGTGACTTGGTGCTATATAAATAAACTGAATTGAATTGAATTAATATAAAAACTGATGCTGTTTGGTGTTCAATTAAATACACAGATTTTTCACATTTGGTTGTTTTAAAATCCTGACACCGAGTTGGAAATGAGGACGCACTTCTCAAAAACAACATTATAGGATGACAACATAACGTGCTGTCTTTGTCTATTTTTAAATTTTCTTTATATTTTGGATAATGATCTATTTCCATTCTGACAAAGCTATACTTTGTGTGCCATATTTGGGGGGGGGGGGGGGGATATAAAACCATTCTGTTCATTTCCTGTGAAATCTCCTATAATCTATTGAGAAACTTGCACTGCTGCTGATTTGGATATTTGAAGGAAGTTCAGTTCAAGGCCTTGGTAGGCTTTATTTGACCCACCAGCCTGCTTGGGATCAAATGGCTAAAATAAGATGAGTATAAATACAGCACTCTGTCCAAGTTAGGATTTTAGCACTCCACCATCTACATAAACAATGCCGAGGGAGCAGGTTCAAGTTCCTCGGCATTCACATTACTGAGGATCTGTCCTGAACATTACATACAGACACTGTGGTCAAGAAAGTCCAGCAAAGTCCTAAGAAGACTAAAGAAGTTTGGTACGAACACCAGCATCCTCACTAACTTTTATAGGTGCACCATTGAGCCTGTAGACAGGCTGCATCACAGAGTGGTATGGAAACTGCACCAGTCCGAAAGCTCTACAGAGGGTGGTGCAAACAGCAGAGGACATCACTGGTAGCAGTCTCCACACCATCCAGGACATCTACCACAGTTGATGTCTGCATAAAGCATGCAGCATCATTAAGGACCACACCCACCCAGCATAAGGACTCTTCCATCTACTCCCTTTAGGCAGACGATACAGGAGTCTGCCATCATGCACGAAAAGACTCAAAGACAGTTATTATCCACAAACTGTCAGATTACTGAACTCGATAATAATACTGAACAATTTACAATAACATAGCACCAAGCCACATCTGTGACACCTAATATGTTTATTGCTGCTGCACTATGTGGTTGTATCATGTATGTATGTCATATTTTCTGCCATACATGCCATATATCATGTATGTTACCATCATAATGCAATTAATCTCAATGTTACTCATTACCTGTGCAATATTCACACAACCTGTGTAATTTATGTTAGTTATGTGCAATATATACCTGTGAAATACTTATTTGTATAAAATTCATCCTACTTGCATCATTATATTCTACCATGTTTACTATATTTATTTTGGACCTTGTGAATATTAAATTTATTCTTCACTTTTTGGTACTTTATTTTGTACCCTTTATTAACCTTTATTTAACCAGGCAAATCCAATTGAGATCATAAATCTCTTTTGCAAGGGAGGCCTGGGCCTGAATATTGCATGCTTTAGTATTTCTTGTTAGTTAGTTTGTTTTATGTTTTTTTTTAGTGAGTCAAATCAGTTCTTCTCATCCTGAACATTTCATTGCATTGTTGACCTTGTGTTCAAGATTCAGGATTCAAGATTCTTTATTTGTCATTCCACCACATGTGGTGGAACAACATTGTGTACACAGGGTCCCAGTTACATCCAACAAAAGTGGCTCAATGAGACTAACCTGTATAAATAAAGGCTAAATGAAAAAAATAAAATAAAATGTAAAAGAAAATGAACTAAGAAAATATTAATAAAAATACACTAAGCACTAATAGCATAAAAAAAACAATACACCGAACAGCAGCACGAACATGAGTCAGTGTGAGCAGATGAGTACGAATGAACACAGCAACATGAAACAGATCAGCAGCAACATGATGTGATTCTTCACAGTGATTATCTTGGTTAGAGATTCATGAGTCTAACAGCTTCAGGGTAGAATATGTTCCTCAGTCTAGTGGTTCTACACTTAATGCACCTTAACCTCCTTCCTGAGGGGAGCGAGGCAAAAAGTGTGTGCTGGGTGAGTGGGGTTCTTCATGATGCAGGCGTTAACCTGCAAATGACAAATTAACAGCAAAACACACAATTATACTAATGTGTGTCTATTGCATGCTGTAAACTAAAATAAGCCTTTTTAAAACATATATTTATATATATCCCCCCACCCCCCAAATACGTATTGAAATGTTGGATCAGATTCATATTTGTGTATTAATAGTAAAAATAATTACAAAAGTACATTCCAAACACATTCCAAAATACATTTTTCCCCAGTCAGTAATACTATTACCCAACAAATGCTTTGTCGCAGTTGAATATTTACGGAGCAAACTTTTTGAGCTTTAGTATTTTTCAAATTGTGCTCCAGTGTTTCCGCCTGTGGATGTTCCTGGGTCAGACAGAGTTTACTGCAACAGGCAGGGCGGAACTGCTGCTAGCAGCATGTTGAAGGCGGCCAGGCTCAGCTAGCGCTACGCACACAACTGAACAATTTACACACCACTGGGGCTACGTGAAATAACCAGTCTGTGTACGGACTTCGCCGACACCGCCGTGACTTGTTTGTACGGGGGTGATTTTTGAGCTCCCCTCGCGATTTTTTTTCTCCCCAGCGTGTTTTCACGACGTAAGGCGGCGGTTGAGGGCTCGGCAGCCATCTTTGGAGCTTTCCTGGGAGTGGGATCTGACTGCTGTGGAACCCCAGCTACTTCAAGGGTGGGCATTTTTAAATATTCCCCCGATTTGTCCAGTTTAATGGTTTGACAGCGTGAGAAACCGCAATACCTTAGCGCACCGAGTTGTCATGCCGCGAATAAAACTGGAATAAGCACTTTATATTCCCAAACAATTTGAGAATACGACATTCACAGCGTTCAAGCTGGCCTGTCAGAGCAGGGAGTTTAGCTAGGTGGCTAAGCTAACAAATTCCACCTGAAATACTCTTTTGTTTTTTTACTCAAGATGCAGCTCAAGTGAAAAAGTTATTGCAGGGAAGTTAAGCTGAACGGCAGCTAGTAAGGCTGGACTGCTAGTAGTTAACCTCAGAAGTATTGTGGCCTTTTTGACAAGCTAAACTTTAAAGATTTTTTAGACCAAAACAGCACCATATGTAAAAATTGCCATCCATCCATGGCCTTGTTGTTGTCCATCAGACTTATCAGCGTTATAATTTGATTTTGTGTTGGAGGAATGGCTTAAAAAACATTTTTGCCCAAACATGCTAAAAGCAATTTTTCTTTTTTTTACCATAAATACTAGTATTTTAGAAAATATCAATTTAAAAATTCACCAAGAGTAATAACTAAGGTATAATATAAATGATCCAATTCAACGTATAAGTTGATAACTTTGAGACTGTTTTTATTTCTGGTGTTTTAAGTTTTCCATAATATATAATTAAACTTTCAAATATATGCAATATGTTTTGCATATTTTTCCCCAAAGCTGACCTAAACAACAGTTTTTCTGGTTATGTATTGCATCTAAACCTTATTTAATTAAATATAAACACACACCAATGCACTCTTTCCTTAAGTTGATTAAGACGCCTTATGGCAAAGTCTTCTGGACCAGTGAAATGTGTTTAGTCTCACATGGCTTCTTAGAGAGTCAAACCTTGATCAAGATTGTTTTTAATTTACTGTCAAACTTTTCAGTGCTTGCTTGTTTCTACTTTTATGTCAGTGATGCTCAAAATTCTCATTGGGGCCCATTCCTACCTCCCTGTAGCAGTGCAAACAGGAAGTGCTGAGAAATGCAGTGTAGTGAGGGCATACATCGGGAATTCCAGCCCTCCAGCTTTGTTGTCCAGTCCTGCTGCATTCTTGTGCATTTGTATGCACTAGTTGGAAGGCTTGGGTGGTTTACAAAGGTGTTGGTTATCAATGTTCGCTTTTTTCCCCCCTCGCTTGTCCCTGATCAAAAATCCAAAGGACAGCTCAAAAGCTCATGCAACCATGTCATAAAGAACAACAGCAATAACCAGGCACAGTCATACATGGTAATGAGGCTTTATTTTCAGGGCTGTGGCTGCATTTGTGTAGAATAGTGGGTTGTTCAGTGTTGTGAGACAAAAGATGTCTGCCTGAGCTGGGGGCTGTTTCTCCCAGGCCGGGGAAGAAGTCTTGTGACTCTAGCGTCAGCTCTGCATCTGTTTGCAGCTGATCATCTGAGCTGCATGAACTCTGAATTTTCCTCAGCGATCTTTCACAGCCTATATCGATATAGCTGTAATAACGGTTTTGTCTCAAAAGTTTAGACTTGATATAGTAGTTTTGAATACATTCACTACTCTTCAGTATTTTTTTTAAAATACATTGTCTTTTTAAATGGTAAAAACTGAGTAAAACACATTTTGCCTCATTATCTGTAGCCATGAAAATAATTTTGGTTTTATATGGTTGTTTTATGGTAAAGTTAAATAACTTATGGATGTTTTTTTGTCCACGTCCATTTATTGGTCACATTTAGAAAGCAGCAGACAAAACATTGTTTTTAATCTGCTTTGTTTTGGTAAGGATAGTTAACACTGCTATGGATGATATTGGAAAAAAAAAAAAAAAAGCACTAATATTAAAAAAAAATTAAACTGGAATTATATGTAATAATGGGTGACAGTCCTTCTATTAGCCTTTCAGAGTGGACACGACTGACTTCCTGTGAGCTTAATATCCAAGAGATGTTTACAAGAAGCCCAAAGATTATTTTAGTCCAGTGTTTGTTGGTTTTTGAACTTGATCAGGCTCAGTCATGCAGCCTTTACGATCTGAATTCTATTATGCAACTTATTCCTAGCCCCATGATGCTTTGCCTGAATTTTGGGCGCAACTTCCGGCACGAACCAGAACTGGCATTTGTTTATGTGCAAACAGTACGAGCTACTGTAGTTTCCCGAAGCACTGTGGATTTAATTTAAACATGTTGAAACCCCACCTGTCGAAGCTCTAACAGGACAGTAAAATCATACCGCTGCCAACTGCAGATGAGGGATGGAGGACGACCTGAAGAAGTGGCAGCAGATTACATCTACTAGCATATTTAGCTATTTCATTAACTCTGTTGCTTCCGACGGTGAAGTGATGAACAACCTGAAAAGCTCTGAGGCGTATTAGTATCTACACAGTAAAAAGGTTGGTCGTGTTTTGTTAAAAGAGGTGGGACACAATTTTATTTACCTTAAAGCTGACGTAGAGACCAGCCAAAGCCTTAAAGTCCTCCATCACTGAGCTTGGGTTAATTGCAGAGAAAATCGTAAAACCAAAGACGAACAAGTACAATAATGCAGTTGTGCCCTTCATACACTTGAAATCATACCTGATATTCTTGTCACACTGTTTTCAATCCTTCTGAGGATCAAGCGTCTCCTCTGGTTTATTGTAGCCCAGCCACAAAGTAGGATGCAGGTTTTCCTCCGTCGGCCGTTTGTCAACAAATTGAAATGAGCACATACACCATTTTGAGTGGTCTCTAAGTTCACATTTTTCAGCCACATTCTTCTTAATTCCTCATCTGTAGGTAGGTGATGGAAACTATAGCGCTTTTCACAGGAACACTTTTTTTTGTTTGTTTTGGGTCTGTGTTCAAGAAACTTTTGTTGTAGCCACTGATTTAGTTTGGTCTGGTTGTTCGTGCAGCCGTGAACAGCACAACAGGCACCTGAACTCCACAAAGCTATTTTAGTAAACTTCATGGTTGTTAAATAAATGTGAACAATACAAAAACAGTGTTTTATCTGCTAAACTGAATGCAAATTACTTTCAAATAAACAGCAGTCCGTGCACCCCTACCATGGTTCACCAGTCCTTTTTACTACTTCCGGTGTCTGACAGTAAGTTGGGCACATAATCATTTATACAGTAGAGCCCCCAGGAATAAGGTGTATAGGTATCAGTCTGCGAGTCTCCATGTTCCTCTTGACTGTGTTAGTAAAATATACTCCTAAGAATACATCGACTACACGTGGACTATGATTAAATTTTTTATTTAAAAGTGAATTGCAAAGAAGCTTGAGTACTTTGAGAAGAAGAAGGGAAACACAGACGCTTGTTTCAAAGTGATATTGTGTGAAGAGTTTCATCATCATTCATCCATCCATCCATTATCTTTACCCGCTTCTTCCATTTTGGGTCACGGGGGTCGCCAGTGCCCATGTCCGGCAATCTCACCATCATTCACTTTTGTCCAATTTGCTACTTTGTGATGCTAAGGATGCTTCCCATTCTCAAATATCTTTTCTGGTAAATTGAGGTTGACAAACAAGCTTTTCACCACCTGTCAGAATGGAGCATGTAACTACTAATTAGTCCAACGCTAAGGCAAACACCTAAGTGCAGCAAACCTAACAATACAATACAAGCATAGTTGTGTTGGCAAAGTAAATGAATTTGCACATACATACTTCTTAGTTGTGTAGATGACAGCAAATATGTTGCTATTTTCTCATAGCTGCAGTGCTGGATTGTTGGACCTGCTCAGTGATCCCAAACAGCAGCTTAAAAGCAACAAAATCAGAATGTTTGTTTCAGTCTTGTTGCCACAAAGATTAAAATACTATGTTGAGCAAATGTTATCTTGATCCAGACATGTAGTAAAGTAAAGTGCTATGTGTTGCAGTGTTTCCCCTAGTTAACTTGCCATGGCGAGGTGCGCATCTCATCCATGATTTTTGTTGATGGGTGGGGATGAAGACATGTCTGAGCGCAGCTTGTACTAACAGTTTTTGAGCGAGGGCGGGGGCGTTCAGCATGAGGGAAGAGGCAATGTGAGTGCTGCCTTTAGCTTTTTAGCTAGAAAGCCTGTATTTCGTGCTGCTAGCTTAGTGCTATGTCAGGGGGTGGGGGGTTTGGTAGGCAGGGTGCTCAGTTCTGTTGACGGGGTGGGGCACCCCGCTTGTATAATGGTAGGGGAAACACTGCATTGTCATTGTATGTTCCCATACAATGGTGAAATTGGTTCTCTGCATTTAACCCATCGCACCTGGGCTACACCCAGGTGGAGCAGTGGGCAGCTATGTAAGAATGTAAGTGCCCGGGGAGCGATTAGGTAATTTGACAAGGCATGAAATGTGCTGAAAGTGCTCAGAAGGCATGGTGCACTGAACAAAACCTCTCGTCTTTACACTGAGAGGGGTTTAAGGCAATTGTTTGCATTTCCTGAACTAGAGAGGTGGACCAACTTGCTGCCCTGCATTCAGCTGTGCAGTGAAAAAGAAATGGTTAGTACCGTAAATATATATATATATATATATATATATATATCTCAAAACGGGCTGAGAAAAGGTCTTCTCAAAATGGCTCTTGGTTAGAAACGTTTCTTGTGATCTAAAACTGTTTTGATCCACTACATCCGATACTGCAGCCCCAGCAGATAGTTGTAAAAAAATCACTTTCCACCACCGCTTTATTTGAGATATTTATCATCTTGCTTTAAACATTAAGGGACCTAAGCTTAAACAATAGGTAGAGGTAGAGTCTGTTGCCAGGTATCTGTTGTCTTCCACTTCTTCTGTCTGCTTAAAATCGTGTTCCTTTTCAAATCCACAATCACATCCTTTGTCTTGTGTTCAAGATGAGGTGATTGTTCCCACACCAAAGCTGTAAAACTGTCCACCAGTTCTCTGTACTCAGCCTCCACCACTGACACACCCCACAGCTGTAGTCATCTAAGTATTTCTGAACATGACACATGTCTGGGTTGTACTGGAAGTCTGGGATGTACAAAGTAAAGCAAAATGGTCGTAGTTCACTTCCTTATGATGCCCCACACAGATTCTGTTGTTGCACAAGGGTTAGAAATGTTTATGAAATTACTAATAGATCTTTTGTACAAAACACTATAATGAAGTTATGCATTCCAGTAGTCGTGTCATCGTATTGCTTTATTTTCTTAGGTATTTTTTCTTCTTACATCTGTCAGTTTTTTCAACACCAGTCATTAAAGGTGTGAGATGAAGACGTCTGATTGTTTCACACTGGTTTCATTACTATATTGACTATTTCTATGGGAACAAGAGATCTATGCTGGAGTACAGAACATTTTTAACTGGCCATTCTTTTACTTTGCTACTGAAACTGCAGTTTTCACTAGAGATCAGTGAGAGCCTCTCACTGATCTCACAGGGAAACTTTTCCACTTATAGAACATAATTCATATTTTTAAATTACAAAAACATTGGAAAGAAACATATTGGAGACTGGGGTAAATTTACTCCCAAACATTCAACATCCATTTTGTTTCCTTTTGTATTTTCAGCCCTGAACACATGAAAGCACTGTCCTGCAGATGAGCCATCACTGGGGGCTTTCCCGTCGCTGTCGCAGACCCAGATAGTTTCTGGCGACAGCGGCATTGCCCCCAACTCCCCATTATGCCCAACAACAGTCGGGCGGGGAACCTGAAGGACCTCGAAATCGCTGACCTCTTCTTCAAGGAGGACCCAGAGAAGCTCTTTTCAGATTTGCGTGAAATTGGACATGGCAGCTTTGGTGCTGTATATTTTGTGAGTATTCTTCTAGAAAAGTGAATGGTTGAAATCTTAAATGTTATCTCATTTTAATTTCAAAACTGCTTTAGCAATATCTTTAGAGAAATTCAGCATCCTGTTTTACTTCAGTTCTCTCAACTTTTTGGCACACGTGACTAAAATAAAAACACATAAAGCTTTTTAAAGACATTATTCTCAGTGTATTTCATTCTGATTTGTTAAATGATCAGTAAACATATTAGTTTTCTATATTTAAAGAATAATGTGATAGTAATATTCAGTAAAAAAAAAACAACAACACTTTTTGTATGTTCCTCAATTCCTTATGTGATGTAAAACATTAACATGAAGCAAACTAAAAACTTAAACATAACTTTTGTTTTTTTCATGGTGTCCCAATATGCTTTAAAATATGACAGTTTGAATATGTAGGGCTCTCAATCAGATTATAGATGAAATTAACACAATACAGCAGTAAAATAAATATGGTCAAGCAGTTGGAAGTAGTCTGTCAGTCAGTGAGTTAACAGAATTTAAATCAAATTTATTTATAAAGCACATTTAAGCATAACCGTTGTTGGCCTAAGTGCTGTGCACAAAGGCAACAAATAACAAAAATAGTTGGAGGAAACGAACAAAATAAAACAAGTCAGTTTTCATGCAGTATAAGGTCATATCGGTATGTTATAAGATGTGACTTAAAACGCCAAGAGGTGAGGCCTCTGATATAATGGAGCAGCTGGTTCCACAGTTTAGGAGCTGCAACTGAAAAAGGCCCAATCACCTCTTTGGATCAGCCTTGACCTCAGGACAACTAAAAGCAAATGATCATTAGATCTAAAGAATCTGGAGAGCTCATAAGGCTGCAGGAGGTCAGACAGGTATATAGGGGTTTGTCCATTCAGGACCTTACAGGTCATCAATAAATCTTCAAAATCAATTCTAAAATGAACAGGGATCTAGTGAAGGGAAGCGAGCACCAGAGAGATATGTTCACACTTCTATTCATGTTAAAAGATGAGCTGCAGCATTCTGAGCTAACTGCAGATGTGAGAGGCCAGCCTGGCTAACACCAACATAAAGAGAGTTACAACAATCAGTTACTTGGGAGCTAATAAATGTGTGAATCACTGGTTCAAAGTCGTTAAAGGATTAAAACTGTTTGACTTTAGATGAAAGCCTCAGTTTAAAAAGGGATCTTTTTACTAATCAAGTGTTGTTTCTCAAGATTAAAATTTAAATCAAGAATCGCACCCACATTTTTTATATGAAATTTTACAAATGGCTCCAAACTTCCCAGATCAGTAGGAGAAATGCTACAGTTTGCAAAACTTATCATTTTAATTTTATCATTAAAATTTAGAATGGTTGAAGCCATCCAAGCTTTCACCTCATCCAAGCAATCAAACAGTTATTTTATTGGAATAGATTGATCTTGCTTCAACTGAAAGCAAAAAAAATGTTGAATTTTCAGAGCCTAATAGGAGCATGTAGATGGAAAATAAAGTGGGTTCAAGAATAGATCCTTGAGGAGTGCCACATGTGAGAAGGGCTAAAGAGGAAACAGATTCTTTGAGGCTTACATAGAAAGTCCTGTCAAACAGATAAGACCTGAACCAGTTACCGGTAAGTGCAGAGCATTTGATACCACAGTGGTCCAGCCGGGAGATCAGAGTACTGTGATCACTTCTTATATTGTTGTTACCCATTTCCAAGATGTTTCAGTAAAATGGGTTTTCACAAGTCTTGCTTTTCAATTCAAACGTGATGGTTTAGTACCAGTAATTACTGTGATAATTTATGTATATGTTAGAGCCTGAAGTAATAAAATTATTTCCAAAAATGTTTCGGTTGGTGGGTTGACAATCACAGTTATGTAATGCTTTTGTCTTTCAGGCACAAGATGTGCGGACACATGATGTGGTGGCCATCAAAAAGATGTCTTACTGTGGGAAACAGTCTAATGAGGTCTGGTAGCTTTTACTGACATTTGTCTCGTTCTATCACAACACTGACACGTGAAGTATCAGAATTTAAAAAACAAACTGTGCGTGTGTGAAAGGAGCCAGAAGGTTCTTCTCATTGCTACACAGGACAGATTATAAACTAGAACTGTTTTTATTCTATTTGCAGGTTTAAAAAAAAAAGTTTTAAGAAGTAATAAAGTAATTTTGTCTGAAATAAACTGTTTTTACAGAAATGGCAAGACATTATAAAGGAGGTAAAATTCCTGCAGAGAATACGACACCCAAACAGCATAGAGTACAAAGGATGTTACCTGAGAGAGCATACTGCTTGGGTAAGATTTTATACTCAAGAGTTGCTGATAACATTAATGGATGATTAAAATTTAAAAACCATTGATTGAAAAGTATCAATTCTCATAAAACACTTGTTTTTGTGTTACAGCTGGTGATGGAATATTGTCTAGGCTCAGCTTCAGATTTGTTGGAAGGTGAGTTTGAAGTCAGTTAGTTCATGTGGCTGCGTTACTTAAAGTAGACATTTAAAGTCTATTTGTCATGATTTGTTGTCCGTTACATCACTGATGATGCGTACCTTCCAGTTCACAAGAAACCTCTGCAAGAAGTTGAAATAGCAGCGATTACCCATGGTGCTCTTAAGGGTTTGGCCTATCTTCATTCCCAAAACATGATTCATCGGTGAGTGTTTTTGGAGTTTTGAAGCATGCCTAGACATTATGTCCTCAGGCATTCTGTTTACTTTTTTTTTTTTTTTCCAAATAACACAAGACGGGGAAAAAAAAAGCAAAAACGCCCACAAAAATAAAATAAATGAATCACTTGGAATAGTTTAACTTAGTTGTCAACTATTAAATAAAATAACCTTTCATAATGGATTAGATATTATTTAAAATATTAAGATACTGGTAGATGGAAAAAGAATGAAGAAACATCATTATAGAAATAGAGGTCAAACAAAAGTAATCGACAAAAATTTTAAGGGAAATTGCCATTTGTGTTTTTCAAAAGCAGAAAAAAAAAGTTAAGTTTTTCCACATTGTTTTAATTGTTTAAACAGATCATTTAGGTGTATGTTGATAACTTTTTCAAATTTTATAAGATTGAAAACAACCTTTACCCATCGAAGGTGAGAAGTAGATGAAAAAGACTTCCAATTCAACAACATCTGTTGCCTTGCATGCAAGTTAGCACAGACAATAACGTTGTTTTATTGAAAAGATAGCAAAAAGAAAATATCTTTGTTAGTTTTGGAAAGATGTAAGATTGATGATGGCACTTAAAATAATGCAATAAATGGATCTAAGCCAATCAGCTCTACAGGCTGCTGACTGTGTTTCAAAGCAAATTTCCAGAAGTTGGTCAAGGAAGAATGTTTTCAGAACTCATGGGTATGATTTGCTGAAAACTAGGCATTCTGTTTTCAGAGCAGAACTTTAACCATTTCTCTCCATATGTTTGACAGTGACATCAAAGCAGGAAATATCTTACTGACAGAACCAGGTCAGGTGAAACTCGCAGATTTCGGTTCTGCTTCCATTGCCTGTCCTGCAAACTCCTTCGTCGGGACCCCATATTGGTATGCTACAAAGCTTCTTTATCAAGTGTTGAATGTGGAACAAATCAACTTATTTTTAACAGGTTTATTGTTTCCATAACTGTGTTTTGCTGCATTTCTTGCTTTCTTAGGATGGCCCCAGAAGTAATTTTAGCTATGGATGAGGGTCAGTATGATGGAAAGGTGGACATCTGGTCTTTGGGAATAACCTGCATCGAATTAGGTATGTTCCTGTCCTTTCTGATTTGGTTAATTTTTAATGATTTAACATTTTCCCTTTTTTATTATTTTAATTTGTGTTGTCTTGGCTTTTTAAATGCTTTTACTAGTTGAGTTTAGCCAGCCTGTTTTTGTCTCTTCTCACTTGGCTGGTTTCTGCCATCACATGTAATAATCTTGTGGAGGGAGGGAGGGAGGGACGTGATAATCTTGGGGGGAGGGAGGGAGGGAGGGATGCATGGATGCATGGATGGATGGATGCATGGATGCATGCATGCATGGATGCATGCTTGCGTTCATTCAAAAGTAATCTGTTCTTTGGCTCATAGCTGAGAGGAAGCCTCCACTGTTCAACATGAATGCAATGAGTGCCTTATACCACATAGCACAAAATGAGAGCCCGACACTGCAGTCTAGTGAATGGTGAGTAAATACATAAATTTACCACGTTACTTGTTCATTTCTTTGCTACGTCCTAAAACTTCTCCCCATTTTTCCACCCTGCTATAGGTCGGATTATTTCCGAAACTTCGTAGATTCTTGCCTTCAGAAACTTCCTCAGGATCGGCCAAACTCTGAGGAGCTCCTACAGGTAGGAATAAGAAATGGCCTTTGCAGATTTATTTCATGTTGTGGTCAGTCCTTTAGGCCTTAATGGAAATGGTGAATTGAATGCTGGAAGACTCTTTGTGTTCGTTTCCCAGCATGCATTTATCCAGCGTAAGCGACCAGAATCCGTTCTAATAGACCTGATAAATCGGACCAAGGATGCAGTGAGGGAGTTAGACAATCTGCAGTATCGTAAAATGAAGAAGATCTTGTTTCAAGAAGCCCACAATGGACCTACAACTGAGGCGCAAGATGATGACGAGGTTTGTTTTGTGATCGTTTCATCTGATCACAGCTTGCGCCTGTGTGGTTATTGTGTTTTTAGTATATGATTGTCATAACATAGTTTCTGTTTGCTGTGCTTTACTTGTAGGAGCCCGAACACAATGGGAGTAAGACAGGCACAGTGAACAGTGTGGGGAGTAACCAGTCCATTCCAAGCATGTCAATCAGTGCCAGTTCTCAGAGCAGCTCCATCAACAGTCTTACTGATGCAGTGAACGAGACGAGTCATGTAGGTATAAAAGGAGACCACACAGTGATGTCCAACAGCTCTGTCATACATCTCAAACATGTAAGATATTAAAACTATACCTAACTTTTAAACCTTTTCTTGTATTTCTCATATTTTTCACTATTTGTGACTAAGAGTACCACAAATATTACCTCTGTTACAACTTATTTAAGGCGTAGCAGGTGAAATATAGTGTTGTGCTTTAAATTCTATTTTATTTAGCTTTGTGTGTGCCTCATGGGGCTTCTTCTTATATTCTTTAGGAACAAGAGACAAGTAATGAAGAGTCTGAGCCTCAAAACCGGGCCACAGCAGAGCCACAATCTCCTGTACAAACTCAGAGGCCAAAACGAAACCGTGAACATTTTGCTACTATACGCACAGCTTCAGTGGTAAAAGCACTTTTTTCCTATTTGTTCAAAAGCTTAAATATATATTACTGCTTTTATTTGTAGGACATTTTCCTTTTTGTTAGAAAGGAAACATCACATAATGTCCTACTTCATGATCTGTTAATGCTATGAAGCTAGCTAAAAATATATATTTTTGTTGTGTGTATATACTGTAGTTTGGGTGTGTTATCCTTATGTATTGTTTCCACCCAGTATAAAAAATGTTTTTGTCCTTTCTTTGTCAGCTCACTCGCCAAATTAAGGAGCATGAGCAGAATTCTGAGTTAAGAGAGCAGATATTGGGCTACAAACGTATGAGGCGGCAGCATCAGAAACAGCTGTTGGCTCTGGAAAACAAACTGAAGGCTGAAAAAGATGAGCACAGGCTCCGTCTGGACAAAGAGCTGGAGAACCAGAGGAATAGCTTTTCCCAAGAGATGGAGAAGCTCATTAAGAAACACCAGGCTTCCTCTGAGAAAGATGTAAGCGTTCATCTCTTACATGTTTACTTGAAGCTGTATTTCTAACTTCATGGTAATCAAAATTGTTGGAAAAGCTTGAAAGCAATGAAACTGATTAGATAAATACTTGATGCATTTTGTCAGTCTGGCTCATTAATTTCAATGTTTATTTTCCAACAGTAACTTTTGAAACTTACTAGTCTTAAATTTCTTTCATCTTTACTGTTTTTAAAGTTGCTGTGAAAAAGCTGACAAAGTACAAAAACAAAACCTGTTTTGCTTTGTCTTTCTGCACTAAAAGTTCAGGATGCTTGTCAAATACAGTCTAGCAGGTTCCTCCAACATTAGTCTTTATTTAGCATTGATTAATGTCATTTTTTTTATCAGGCAAAAACCTATGCCAATGATGAAAAGAAGTTCCAACAACATATCCAGAGTCAGATGAAGAAAGAGCTTAACGGCTTCCTAGAATCCCAGAAACGTGAATATAAACGCCGCAAGGAACAACTGAAAGAGGTTTGATGCTTCACATTTTTGTTTTCACGGTTTCTCTTTCACGCTAGCTGCAGCTAGCAAATGTACATCATTAGAACTAGAACTAGAGCCAAAGTTCTGCTGAAAGACCTCAAGTCGTCCTCCTCCTCAGGAGCTGAATGAAAACCAGTCAACACCCAAGAAAGAAAAGCAAGAGTGGTTGTCCAAACAAAAAGAGAACTTCCATCACTTCCAAGCCGAGGAGGAGGCCAACTTGCAGCACAGACAGCAGCAGTACCTGGAGATAGAATGCCGCAGGTTCAAAAGGAGGATCATGAATATTCGCCACACTACTGAACAGGATCTGGTTCGAGAGGTCAGGACTTCCAAATTTGAATGTTATAAAATTTGTCTTTTTTATTTAAATTTTTCTAACAAACTAGATTTGTTATCTTAATTTGTCCTCTGGAAAAGACTTTCTTTTTTACTAATTGTAAATCTCTTCATGTGCTTGTCATAAGGAGTTAAACAAGCGTCAGACCCAGAAGGACCTGGAACACGCCATGCTTCTCCGGCATCATGAGTCTATGCAAGAGCTGGAGCGTCGCCATCTTAACACCATCCAAAAGACAAGAACCGAGCTGATCCGCCTGCAGCACCAGACAGAGCTCACCAATCAGCAAGAGTACAACAAGAGAAGGGAGAGGGAACTCAGACGCAAACATGTCATGGAGGTTCGTCAGCAACCCAAGAGCCTCAAGGTTAGTGTGATATTAGATTTGTATAAAAGTCTTTTCATTATAAAAATAATGGCCTAAGAAAGGTTTTTTTTTTTTTAATATACAGTTCACAAAACTCATTTTTTTACTTGTTGCGGACTGCATAGAAACGCAGCCAGTGTTTCCCCTACCATTATAAAAGCGGGGCGCCCCGCCCCGTCAACAGAACCGAGCGCCCCGTCTATCTGGCAGCTATTATCCTCCTGAAAAGGGTCTTGCTCTTCTATCAACTTTAATGTGGCCCAAACCGCAACAATGTACCCCCACAAATTTGATATCGGTCTGACCGGCCCGGCACCGTGATGTGTGCTATTACTTTTATTGGCATTACCAGTTACCATGGTGATGCAGTTTGCAAACAAGGACACCATTTTTCTCATTGAAAAACACTGACGGAACTCTTAGCAGCTTCTGACTGCCATAGTGAGGTCACATGACCTAGAGTCAAGAGGTCTCTGCTCAACATCAGTGCTAGAAAAACTTAATGTGAATTTATCTATATAACCTGTAAATAGATTTTGTATCTTTTTAGAGTTTTTTTACCTTTTGTACCCTTTTATAATTATCTTGTTATTTTTTATACTTGAATACTATTACCTTTGTACCTGCTAATATAGCCCTGGCAGACACATGTTTGTAATGTTGATAAAAACTTAATAAAAAACAACAACTTTTGGAGCCATGTTGGTTCAAGATGGCTGCCACAGCTACCTCTTAAAACACAAAATTGACTAGAACTCTGTCATTCATTGAGATATTGAGCTGAAATCTGGTGTGGTCGTAGATGAACGTGAGTTGTTATACATTCCTGATGCAAATTTAAAATCCAAGATGGCCACCTTAACTGAATGGGGAAAAAATACGATAACTCAGCTATTTTAAAAGATATTGAGCTGAAGTTTGATGTGGTGGTACCTGACAGGGATGCACAACACATTCTGTATTCAAATCAAAATGCAAGATGGCCACCAAAGCTAATTTAAAATGGACGTAAGTCAGAGGTTTTTAGAGCTACTTGGCTGAAATTTGGTGTATTGGTAGCTGAGAACAATCCCTACAAGACTGATTGCAAATAAAAAAAATCCAAGATGGACACCTGAGCTAAAAAAAAAAAAGGAAGAATACTATAAATCAGCCATTTTTGTAGATATTACGATGAAATTGGTTGTGGTAGCCGAGAGCAAGCCCAACAACACATAATACTGGCAAATCAAAATTGAAAATGGCTGCAACATGGCAGTCCCCATCAAAGTTTCTCCAGGAACTTTCTAGTTTTAAAATAATGCTTTGTGGTTTAAGATTGACTAAATCATTCAAAAATTGAATTTGACTTGTGTTTATTATGCAACACCTGATCTACTAGTTCTACCTAACAATTAAGTTTTGCATGCATTCTCAGTGTAATGTCTTTTTCTCTGCTGTGCAGTCCAAAGAGCTACAGATCAAGAAGCAGTTTCAAGACACATGTAAGATCCAGACCAGGCAGTATAAAGCACTGAGAAACCATCTGTTGGAGACCTCACCAAAGTCCGAGCACAAAGCCATCCTTAAACGGCTGAAGCAGGAGCAGCACCGCAAGCTGGCCATTTTGGCAGAGCAATATGAGCACTCCATTAATGAAATGCTTTCCACGCAGGCGGTGAGTCTGTTAATGCCAGAAGTATCAGATTAGGACAGTTAAAGAACCAGCTCATATTCCAAAATGTCACCTCGAGAGAATTCTGGTTGTGGATACGTTTCACACTTTGGATTCCTGTTTTTGTGTTTAGCTACGCCTGGACGAAACTCAGGAAACTCAGTGCCAAGCCTTACGAATACAGCTACAGCAGGAGCTGGAACTTCTCAACGCCTATCAGAGCAAAATCAAAATGCAGACAGACGCTCAACATGAACGAGAAAAGAAGGACCTGGAAGAAAGGGTGTTGCTCAGATTAGGACTACTGGAACAAAAGGTCTATATATTCTATCTAATCTTCTCCTGTGAGATTTAAGTTTCTTGAATTGGACACATGTTTAGTGGACCTCATTGATTTTTGTCTTATTATAATGCCTCAGTTTAAAGTGAAGGTGATGGGATTGTGTTTGGGTTTCAGCAGTAAAATTAATTTTTTTTTAATCAAGCACATTGGCCTTTGGGTTCAAATGTTCTAGTAATGATCAATTTTAACTGATTTGATAAGCATCACTGACTAAAAAAACATTTCAGAATAAATCTTGTGCTTTTCTTATGGTTTCCTTTTAATAACTACTTTTTTTTTAAACACAGATTATATCAATTACTCAGTCATTTACAAACATTGTTTCTGTTCTTTTTTTCATTTGTAGATTGAGACAGAGATGCAGTCTTTACAAAAAGAACAGCAAGAGCGAATCCGGAGCCTGCTTGAACGCCAAGCGCGAGAAGTTGAGGCGTTTGACTCTGAAAGCCTGCGTCTGGGCTTCAGCAACATTGTGCTATCAAACATCCCCCCTGAGGGTCTCAACAACAGCTTTCCGGGTGCTCCAGGACGTTATAGTCAGCAACTGCACTCGTCTGTGAGCGCTCAGGGGCCAAACTGGAGCAGCCGTGGTTCGAGTTTAGGGTCAAGTCACCGAGGCACCCACCACCACCATCACGCCAGTCTAGGAGGAATGCCTATGCAAGAGAACTGGGGGCAGGTCATGCATGGAGGAGCGGGTCCGCCTCCGTGGGGCCATCACTCAGCTGGATCGCTGGCCTCTCGCAGCAGTGGGAGCATACAGAACAGCCCTCAAGTGATGGGAGGACACGGTGAGCAGGGTATGAGCAGGAGTTCCAGTGTCACCTCTCAGATATCTAACGGGTCACACCTCTCCTACACCTAAACTGCCCCGTCTCTGCCCCAGAGTCACTTTGAGTGAAGAATAACAGCAGGACAGAGTAGGCCATACCTCTGATGCTCGGTCTGTGACAATACCCCTGTACAGATATGGATGTGTGATAAAATAAATGTTGCTCAGGTCAAAAGGGTTGGAAAAGGCACAGCCCGTCCTCACGGCAGTTTATTGGCACACACAGGTTCTTAGATGTATGTTACAAAAGCAGTTTGAGTATTAGCATCCCCTTTTTACACTCGTACAGAGATTTTTTTTTTAATATTGTAAATTTGTTCTATTCACAGCCATTGCTCTCCTTTTGCACATAAAACACTGTTAGAAAGCTTTTGGCGTGTAACAATGTCTTTAATAATGTAGTATCAAACAATCATTAAACAGTTTGGGTTTGGTTTTACTCCCAGTCATATATAATAATGCACTGGCCATTTCTCTGTGGTACAGTGGGGAAAAAACTCTAAACTAACTGAGGAGGCTTTGCTGTTGTCTACCAGCCTGCTGTAACGGTCATTGTGATCAGATGGAGGCTTTAGTTTAGCAAGCATTATTATTGTTATTTTATTTTTCCACATCAACCAAAATGTGATTTCATTAATGCCAAACCAAACAAATTCATCTTTAACTCTTTGAGACATACGCTTCTACTAACACGGTGCCTTTTTAAGGTTTGAAAACAGATAATACAGATTTTATATCTTAACATTTTGAGTTTCATCCTTGGTTTCTGTTCGTTTATAGAGTAGGTTTTAATTCAGGATGTTTTAACAGCAATAGTTAAAGTTTTTTTTGTTGGAAGAATTCTTTATTCCCAAAATGTACAGTGAAGGTAGTCAAATAAAAGTTGACTAATTAATTTCTGCACATCACTAACTCCATTTTTATGTCTCCAAGTGGTACTCTGGGGAGAATCTTTGCAACTTCTCCAGAGGATTTCACTGCACACATGAGGAGTTTGAGAAAATTGGAAGTTTGTTAGCCTTAAAACAATCCCACTCACAGCTCGTCGATTCATTTTTATTAGTGCCTTTTTAAAACTGCTGCCTTTTTTCAAAGCACTTTATACAGCCTAATGCTTGTGAAAGTAATATTTGCCTTTTTTCCTTTAACCTTTTTTTGCAAAGTTCCTGGTAGATGAATGTTTCATCGGTACGCATGTTGAAAAGTCAAACTTATCTGTGCTGTGATTTTTATTTTTTTTAAGGAGCAATTGCCCAAGTAGATGAGCTTTGTGCTTGTTACCATTCATTAAGTGAGCAAAGGATTTTCCCTTTTTCTTTTCGTTACAGTCTGGCTGTCGTTAGCGATAGCTGCTTTTGTGTGTTTAAGACGAACTCTGAACTGAGTGTTTGAGGATGCTACCATGTTCCTACATATGTTGTTGCTACAGTTTCTATAAAACCCACTGAACAAAGTTAAATGAGGAGTGCTTTATATTCAGACAGGTAGTTACAACCATGACAGAAGGCATTACGATTAGGGATGCACAATATTGGATTTTTGGCTGATTTTTTCCCTGGACCTACTTACAGAGACTACATAGCTTTCTCTGCTGTGGTATTAAAATACTACATTATTCTGCATGGTCTTTGGATGGATGGACTGCTGGTGAGGTTTTGTTTCTCCGTGGTTGACCGCTCTGTACCTTTCTGGCCAACTCATCGTACTGGTTAGAATGGTGGTTCTTGAGATGGTGTGTGACATAATGTTATGCTGGCACTGCAGGCATCCTTGTCACTGGGTTGTCGTACAAAAACAATGCCCAATATAAATATATATATATATATTTATATATTAACAGCGCCTTTTATATAGTTGAGTTATTGTGATGGAATGGCCGATATATAACTTTATCGTTAATATCAGCCGACACCATGCCAATAATATAATATTGTGCATCCCTAATTACAATAATGAACAAAAAACCCTGCTAATTAAAATGCTGCAGCCCAAATAAATTACCACTAAAAATCAAAAAGGTGGAAAGTTGAAATCGTTGCGGTCTCAATAAAACCAAAAATATATTCGAGTCAAACACGTCCTTAAATGGCACTAGCTGAGGGATTTAAAAATGAAACTAAATGTGCATTTTGTTTGCAAAGGAACACAATTAGATACACAATAAATTTAAAAGCTTCATCTTTTCCAAGTTTTAGTTCATGAAGTATCCCAGGACAAGCATGTGCCCTTTAAGCTGTTGTAACAACTCAATTTACATGAGATTTTTTTAAATCAACTTCAAAGACCTTCAGACATAATGAAGCTGTTTGCTCCCCTAAATCACAAAGTTGTAGATAATGTTTATATTTGTATGTTTAATTAAAGAACAAGTTTAAGAAGTGAGATTTTTTTTTTTTTTCACAAAATTTTCTTCTGAACTTGATTTTATTCAACTGTCGTTCTCAAAACTACTACTTTGTAAAGGATGAGTTGTCTGCACAGTTTATTTTATAATATTTCTAGTTACAGATTCAAATCTTTCTTGCATTTGCTGCCATCTCGTTTAAACGCCTCTTTGTGTAGTTCACTGAGAATTACCTCCTCAGATGTTACTCTCCAGTGCGTTTGTTCTTTGTTTTTTTTTTACTGTTTTTTTCGCGGCTCATCCTGAACGATGTTTTTTAACATATTCTTGTTGCGTTTGAGGACACAAAGCGCTGGTAATTCTTTTGTATAGGGTTGGATTTTATTTCATGTCATATATATTCCATCAGAGAAAGTGTCTTTATACCAAGTTACACATTATTTGGTTCAAAACCCAATTTGTATGCCAACTGATTTTTAGTTGTTTTCATTTACGACATCAAAATAGGCTGATTCTTTTCTGGTTTATTTGTGTTTGATACAAATGAGAATGTACTTATTGGAGTTTCAGCATAGCTCAAAAGCCAATATCATGGGTTTGAATATTAGGCCAATAAAACAAACAAACAAAAGCCAACTTTTAGGTTTATATGGACATCTTGACTCATTGTATGTCCCTAATGTTCAGCCTGTATTTTGTTTCATGCTTTCAAATTTTCAGAAAACTTGTTTTGATCCTACTGATTGAAGTACTGGATGTGAATTGGCAACTGAAAACATAAATTCTGTTTATGGTCAAACACTGTGCCATACCGCAGTTGCCAAGCCCAGACGTCAGTGAATCCATTTCATCATTGTTGAACCTGTTCTCAGGCTAATGACAAAATGTATGAAACGAAAAGACAAGTTGGTTCTGGATTATTGGCTGAAGTTTAAAAAACGAGTTGGGAGTGACAGGCAGATGATGAAAAGATTGCATTTCTTTCAAGATGTCAGTATTTTTTTTTTTTTTTTTTTTTGGCACATTACCACTACAACCTTATAACTTGTATTAAAATGTATAGATGGTGGAGTTATTGAATGTCAGAGATTATGAAGATGGTAACTAAAAGTGGATTTTAAATTGTGTACAAAGAGATAAAACAATTAAAAAGTGGATACAATTACTATAATGTTTGTATTGTATTTACCGTTGTGTTGGCAGAGGGATATTGAACAGAAATCAGCTGTAATAAAGTAATTTTAGTATAACTTGTTTGTTTTGTTTTGTTTTGTACTTGGAGGTGTGCACCATTTTGAAACGCCGGTACATGTAAGGGAGCAGGCTGAGGCCTCACCGTGAAGACCACACGACATCCACGGATGGTCGAATAAGGATTCCCCGTTGTCATTCAGCAGCCTGTACTTAACTCAACCACATTGTTGATGTAAGCAAATGGGAAACTTGCAAATTTGATTAAAATATTCTGTACTCCCTCTCCGCTCCCTCATCACGTTTAACCGGGTGATGCAGCGGTAGTCAGAAATGGAGCGGACCCGTCTCATACGCTGACGTCACTCAAACGGAAGTAAATTCAACGAGCATGGTAAATAAAGGCAAACGCACTAACCTGTAAAACGGTTATGCAGTTTCAGTTGTCCGTAACCTAAGTAAGTACAAATTTAAAATCTGAATTTGATTTACTCAGCCATCTTAGCATTGGGTGCAAGGCTTGCTGTCTAAACACTACGAAAAGTAATTATATTTGATGTAGCAAACGTCTTTTAATTATCCAAGAGACAAGGCATTTCCATTAACTACTCCTTAATTTGTCAAATGGCTGAATAAAGTAGCCACACGTTCTTATCTACTCGCTTTCTGGTGTAGCTAGCTTAGCTGTATGTGCTACACAGCTTAACTTAAATGCTAATTTAGCTAACATAACTTTTCTGTTGGGGAAAACAGTGTCTCCTACGTCATGAATGTTGAACAAATAAGTATAAAAAACTGCTGAATATGTCGTTATCGTGTTGTTTTGGTTCTGTACTGCTTTGCAATAAAACCACAGCTTTAATTTCAGCAGTCACATAGTTTTAAAATATACACGTCTGTGGTTTAAACCACTAAAACACCCACTCCAGACAATGTTTTGAAAAATATCAGATTATATGGATCGTTTTGCACTTTATTTATTAGGTTTGTGCAGTTGTTTGTTTTTAATGTGGCCATGTTTTCCTGAAGGTGTCATTGATCATTAAATGCCTTTTGTCCACACAGAACTTCAGGATGTTGTGTGAAATCTTTCTTTCCTCACTATGGTTCCTGTTTGTTATCTTCTGGGTGGAAACAATAAGTGTTTGGCTCTTTCTGTCCATGTTTTACCAGGATCGGGAATTTTATCAATGGGGAGATGGGTAAGACTTGTTTGCTTTTGTTGCAGACTATTAATTGATTGATTGATTGATTAAGGGGGGTGGAGTTGATTTCATTTTTCAGACCATGACGTCCTTAAGCCCAGATCTAAAGGAGTGGCTGAAAACATAAAATAATCTGTTATTGTGTGAAGTGAGAGATCTTAATGATCTTAAACGTTTGTTACAGTGTGTTTGCAGATGATCCTGGTCAAGTAATATTCAGGTTACGCAGGTATGACGTTTTGATTTTGATCTTTTGAGTTCAGAACTATTTGTTTTGTTTTTTAATGTTTCATACAACTCTTTAATTCTTTCTTTCCCCAGATTGGACGGCCCTACAGAGACTGAGGTTCAGACCTAATATGATTAAAACATGCGCAGTCGAACAGATGAAGATGAACAGATGAAGAACGCCTGTTCTTCTTTTGTGATGTGCGCAGCCCTTTCTTTACTAGGAAGTGAAGAGGTGCAGTTTTTGTGAAAGTGCAATTATGACTAGAAGGACTTTTCTCTGTGCTTTATGCACCCAGCACTTCCACTGCTTCAGATTTTTTTCTGTCTGAATTTGGAGGAGCAAAATGAATATAAATGAAAATCCTGACTTCGTTCTAATGAGCTTAGTGCATCCGTTTTTTAATTTAATTTCTTAACGTTCAACTTCATTTTACACTTGCACTTAAATTGTTTTTTGTCATACGTTCATTCTGTTCAATCACTTCTGGCCTCTGCTTTTAGCAGACCATATTTGTGGTCTCAGATATCAGTTTAAGGCACATCTGTTCACAGTTGGCAATGCAACAGTTTTTTTTTTTTTACAATAATCAAATGTTTTAGCTTGTATGCTTGATCTCACACTTTTTAATAATGTTCTTTTTATTTGTGAGTATTGAACTTGATAGGGAGGATGCTAAGATTTAACATACTGTTTCAAGGTTGTATAATTTTCACACCGACTTCTTTCAGTGTTTCTTTTTTGGGACAGCTGTGGTTGAGTGGTTAGAACAGTCGTCCTCCCATGCAAGGGATGGAGGTTTGATTCCACCAGTAGTCACATGCTGAAGTGTCCCTGGGCAAGACACTGAACCCCTCATTGCCTCTAATGTGTGTCCCATCGGTGTATGAACATGATAAAGCACTGATTGTTCTTTGTATAGATATAGTAGATTGTTGTATGAATGGGTAAATGAGGGCACAGATTGTAGTAAAGCTCTGAGTATCTTGATAAAATAGAAAAGTGCTAGGTGCAGTCCATTTACCATTTCACTTATTCTCATGAAAGCAGTTGAAATTTAAACAGTATTTGAGCTTAAAAGATTTTGTAAATGTCCAAGGAAATATTTCTTTTTGTTTTAATCATTGATTGTTTAGAGCTTTTAGCTGTTATGGCTTTTTTTTTTTTTTTCTGAACTGAAAGCGGTTTGATCATCTGGGGATGTATTGTACAGCAGAAATACAGAAAATTATTATTATTATTATTTTATTTTTTTTTTTTAATTTACAATAAATCTGAGTTTTTAAAAAAAAAAACTTCTTTAAAAGTATTTTTAAGGTCCAAAAATTATGCTTTTGCAAACCTGAAATTTTTTAACATGTATTTTTTCTTTTAGGAAATACTTAAGAACAGAAAAGTTTGCTCTCTTTTTGTAACTTAACCAATGAACATCTGTGTTGTATGACTTAATGGAATAAATTAAAGTGAGTTTTTAAGCATTTAATCACTGAAGTTATCACACGCAACATGCTGCGCCACCTCCTCTCCGGAGCAGCAGGGGGCGCTCTCACTAAAACCCTTATACTCGGTTGTCTATTCTTCGGTTGTATGTCCAGTTTTACTGCGAGGAAATAATGCGTTATTCTGTAGTTAGGTGTAACTGATGTATTTTTTGTAAATATTAGGGCCTGTGAAGTCTCACTGGACGAATTTGTGTCGATCATTCGTGTTTGCAAACAACCCGTCTTTTAGCCGTGAGCACCATCTCGTGTAAACATGGCTCCGACTATTCAGACACAACAAGCTCAACGGGAGGACGGCCACAGGTAACCGTGTCTTAGCTCTCTCTTCTTGTTTGTATGTCTGCAATTTATTATAAACGCGGCTACGATTCATTAGCGGTTCTTTTAAGTCATCTGTTGCGTGTTTATCAATAATAGCCTGTTAGCTAACTCGAGCGCGCAACTTTAGCTTAGGCTAATGCTAATACACTTTGTTTATTCATTCAACCTTTATTTTTACAGGTTAGTCTCACTGAGTCACGAGGACTCGTCTTCAACAGAGACCTGTAAAGCGATTTAAAATGTAAATAAGCCAAGCTCACTTTTAAAAAACAATTTCTGTAAATATTTGTAACAGTGCATGATAGAGAGCACATCATACAAGTGCTCATTTCGTTTATTTGCTGTTAATTTTTAAACACGATCCTAAATCAAATTAGCTATTTTTATTCGTTAAAAACGTTTAGTTGTCAGTTTTTTAATGACGTTTTATGATTCCCTATATAGTACGGATTTTATTACTGTGTTTAATTTAGAACAAAAAACACAGTAAACACAGTATCTGTTTGTTTGATCGTGTTTTTAATGTATTAGTGTTCAGATGAAAAGACAAGAATTGTAAACTGAATTATTAGTGTTTTAAAATGTTATGAAGCAGATATTCATAAAGTTGTGAGCAGATTTCTAATTCCAGAAATTGAAATTAAACGTAAGTGTTTTTAATTGTAAGAAGATATAAAACCAGTAGTCATGGATAGATATAAAATATTTGTATTCTCAGTATATATATCTGTGTTTGTATGTGCTTTATAGTCAGAGGCTGCAGGTCTTTGCCTCTATTTTTAGCCTGGAAGATGGAGATTTAGGGAACCACAAAATAAACTAAAGACATAACATTCTTTGGAAAAATGCATATTGCCTGACAACTTTCTCTCCATCCATCCTCTTAACCCACTTCTTCGTTTTCGGGTTGTGGGGGTCATTGATGCCCATGTTCAGCTATCACTGTGCGAGAGGTGGGGGACACCCTAGACAGGTCGCAAGTCCATCACAAAGACACATGGAGACAAACGAGACAAACAACCGTTCACTCTCTCAATCACACCTAGAGACAATCAGCCTAACATGCATGTTCCTGGTCTGTGGGAGTGCCCGCGCATGCACGGAGAGAACATGCAAACTCCACTTGGAAAGGACCTGGGCTGGGATTTGTACCGGCGACCTTCTCACTGAGAGGCAACAGCTCTACCAACTGTGCCACCATGCCAAAGTTTTAAATTCAGATCATCTTATGTTTGAAAAATAATGCAGTAGTGATATGAGTTTAGGATGACCCTCAGCTACTACCACACCAAATTTCAGTTCATTATCTGTTAAGTACATAACAATATCAATTTCTGTTATTCCCATGTTTGTGTTTAAGTTTGATCAGCTGTAGAGACTGTCTTGAATTGGGATGACCTTAAAAGTCGGATGGTTGTAGTTGTACCACTAATGGGTGGCACAGTGGACCAGTGGTCAGAGCTGCCATCTCACCTCCTGCCTTAATAAGCTTAATATATGAGCATTAATGTTGGAGCATTTGAATAAAGTAAATGTTGAGGAAGGTGATAATGGATATTAGCAAAATGTGTTGTAGCTTCTAATTACATTTTCTGACTGTTAAAGTGATATTTAACACCTTTCTTACCATCATAATATGACAAGCTTAAGAAGTTGATAAATGGGACATTAAGAGCTTTTTTATGTCTTGAAACATTTGTTACTTTTTGGCAGTATTTGTTATTTTAGAGAAGGTAATCCATCTAAAAAATAACTCTTCTCTTCTAGTCGAACGTCTTCTCACAGAACCGTACCAGAGAGGTAAGTGTATTTATATGTATTTGCAATCATGTCCTGTGATTTGAGTCTTGTTTTGCGTGTGTGAAAATGGCTGCTAATTTCACCCGTTTCCCTAATTTTCTGCCTTTTCTGACAGATCGGGAATTGTTTGTCGAGTGAAGTACTGCAACAGCTTGCCCGACATCCCCTTTGATCCCAAATTCATCACATATCCATTTGACCAGCACAGGTCATTTTACTCACTCCTCTGTTTCTCTTGTATTTCTCTATGACGTAAACACAAAGATGCGTAACATTTGTTTTTCTGTTCTGGCAGGTTTGTACAATATAAAGCCACTTCCCTGGAGAAGCAACACAAACATGAACTCCTGACTGAACCAGATCTTGGAGTGACCATTGACCTCATCAACCCAGACACCTACCGCATAGATCCCAATGGTAAGTTTCTAGTTAAAGCCCACTTGCTGTTTTTCTAATTTAGCTTTGGATATAGAAATAGAAACATTTGTCGCCAGCACTTGTGTGAACTTAACTGACATATTAACGATTTCAGTCTTTTTGGACCCTGCTGATGAGAAATTGTTGGAGGAGGACATCCAGGCTCCATCCAGCTCCAAAAGGTAAGGCCAGCAAAAATATGGCTTTATGTTTTTTATATTTATTCATACTTTTTTTTTAAGAAACATTGGTTTTTTTTTTTATTAAGATCCCAACAACATGCCAAAGTGGTGCCGTGGATGAGAAAAACAGAATACATTTCCACAGAGTTCAACAGATATGGTGTCTCTAATGAAAAAGTGGAGGTCAAGTAAGTTTGAATTTCTAACATTAAAAACACTATTGCACATGTGTACTTGTATACATTTTGTGTGTGTTTTATATTCTATGTAATCCTGATTTGGTTTCTTTCTAGGATTGGAGTGTCTGTCAAACAGCAGTTTACAGAAGAAGAGATCTACAAGGATAGGGACAGTCAGATTTCTGCTATCGAGAAGACGTTTGAAGACGCACAGAAATCGGTAAGTGAACATATTTTCAGGCTGCTCGTAATGTGGTTTAACGTTTAGCGTGTTTAAAACGCACAAGCAAATAAGTGGAAACAGTTTGACCCTGTTCAAAGGGACTTTCTGGGAATTCCAGGAAATCTTACATATGTTTTGCATTAAGTTGTTTTAAGTTGTGGTCTTTTTGAAATAGTCTGTTGCAAATCAGCTCGTTGGCGCAAAATAATAAAATAAAAAAGTAATCTATTGTTGGTTTGGTACTGCTTTGTAATCATAAGTTTGCTGTTTTATCATTGATAGATCTCACAGCACTACAGTAAACCCCGAGTTACTCCTGTGGAGGTCCTGCCCGTGTTCCCTGACTTTAAGGTGGGTCTAAAGAAGGATTTGACACATACCATAATATTCTTTTGTAATCCATGTAGAAAACTAGAAATAAAATGCCATACGCAAAATAATTGGGCAACAAATAGCAAGTTCTTATTGAAATACAGAAACCTGTTGTAAAAAGTTGAAGAATTATAATCTTAACGTGACTGTCATTTAAAGATGCTATTAGGCAAAAATCTGATTTGCAGATTTGAATAGTGATCCTTCATGCACTCTATTCCCCCAGATGTGGATCAACCCGTGCGCTCAGGTCATCTTCGACTCTGATCCTGCACCTAAAGATATTTCTGCTCCTGCAGGGGTGGAGATGATGTCTCAGGCCATGATCAGGTCTCCACTAAAGAAGAGCTCCACATTCGTAAACTCAAAACAGTAATGTTCTTCCACAAACATTCATTCATTGTTTGTTTACCACAGGGGAATGATGGATGAGGAGGGGAATCAGTTTGTGGCCTACTTCCTGCCCAATGAAGAAACCCTTCGTAAGCGAAAGAGAGACTTTGAGGAGGGGGTGGATTATATGGCAGAGGATCTGTGAGTGAAAAGTGTTGCAGAAAGAAAAACGCGTGATGTTTTTTTTTTTTACACTTCAACAAAAGAACAGCATCAATCTCGATGCTAAATAAAATAAGAAGTAATTTATTCAACTTTTGTGTTTCAGATATGATTATAAGATTGCAAGAGAGTACAACTGGAATGTCAAAAACAAAGCCAGCAAGGGCTATGAGGAGAACTACTTCTTTATCTTCCGAGATGGAGACGGTGTTTACTACAATGAGCTGGAGACGAGGTCAGGACCATTTATATTTTACTTATTTTGATAAAGCAATCAAGCTCACTTTAAAGGAAACACAAAATCTGCTTTGATCAGTAAAACATAGTCATGTGTATGTTGCCTGCCTGCTAGCTTAGCGCTACATTGCTGCCTGTAATTCATTGGTTAGATTTTTTTTTTTTTACCTTTTATTTATACAAGTAGTCTCATTGAGTCACGAAGGACCCACGAGAGATGTGTACTGGGCAGCGATGTGAGCGCCTGGGTGTGACGAGGCTAAATGTTTTGACTGCATGTAGCTCGTTAGCCTGTCAAAAAACAAAAATAAAATCATAAGTTAGCCGCAGCATTGTATAAACTGTGGTGTTCAAAGCGCGTGGGGAAAAAAGAAGTGGCTTATAGTCTGGAAAAGACGGTAATTGTTTATGATAAGTGGTAACGTTTTTACAACTTTTATTCTGATCTGTAGAGTGCGCTTGAGCAAGAGGAGAGCCAAGGCAGGAGCGCAGTCCACTACAAACGCTGTGCTGGTGTGTAAGCACAGAGACATGAATGAGAAGGAGCTGGAGGCCCAGGTGAGTGCAAATATTTAGTTTTTATAAGTTTGTGGTGGAAATGAACTCAGCTTGTGAACCATTTTCTGGTCAACAGTGTTTGTGAAAGCATAACACAAGTTATAATTACACAATGATTATTTTTTTCATATTTATCAAAGACACAGTTAAGAACATCTTAAAGATTTATAAAATAGTAATAATGTAATACTGATTTTAAAATAAAGTCGTAGTTTTACCCCACATTCCAGTTGCTTCACAAATAACAATATACAACAGAAGTCTTAGATTGGGGGGGGGGGGGGGTAAATCTTTTTTAAAAAATCCTGTTTGGTCATTACGTACCTGTTTGGAATTTCACTGTGTATGTTTTATATAATTAAGAAACTTAGCTGATTGTATTAAAAAGTCTTAGTCTGTAGTTTTGTTCTGATCGCTGATGATTCTGTTTGTTGTGGTTTTCAGGAGGCACGTAAGGCTCAGCTGGAGAACCACGAGCCAGAAGACGAGGAGGAAGACCTGGAGAAAGACATGCAGGATTCTGGTTAGTCTTTTATCATTACCGTGCGTGACGCTTTTATTCAGCTATTTCCAGTAATAGCTGGGTTTCCATTCCCAGTTTGCATTTAGAAGAAGTGAATAAAGGTGACTTGATTTGTGAAAAATGGAAATTAAAAAAGCAACATCTTTCACTTTGTGTTTTTGCTTGAGGTAGTTTTTGTTTCAAAGGTGATTTAATTTGCATTAGAAAATGGAAACAAGTTTTTACAGATCTGACCTGGCAAAGCTTAAACGGTTTAGTGATATGAATCACAATCTGATTCAGATCACAGCCAATTTACAGGAATGAGCGGCAGCGGCCCAGAGCTCCACAACGATCAGTGTAATTCCTGAATAAGAACAGTCGCCTTTTCTTCCTGTAAACGTCAGCCACGGTGTTTTATTCCTGGTTTGTTTCCAGGCAGGTCAATTATTTATTTAAAAAACTTAAAGCATGAGCAACGGCGTCTGTAATTTTGTGTTCTTTGGAAAGTATGTTTTGATTTACAAGTGACTGAAATGTTAAGAACTCACATTTATTGATTCGAAATGTTGCTTCTTCTCCAGGTGACGAGAAGGAAAAGGGCAGCGGCAGCGAGGCAGAGAACTCCGGCAGCGAGTCTGAGAGGGAAGACGAGGACCAGGAACAAAGTGGCGAAGAGGACGAAGAAGAAGAGAACCCAGCGAAACGGCGACGGAAGGCAAGCGGCAGCGGTAGCGAAAGCGGCGAGGACAGGACCAGAGAATTGCGGGACGAGGAAGAGATCTTCGGCAGCGACGACGACGACGAACCCAAGAATTCGGCCAGGAGCAGCGGGGAGGAGGGCAGCGGCAGCGAAGACGAAGGGGAGAACAGGAGGGGCAGCAGGAGTCGCAGCGCCTCTCCGGCACGCAGCGACCGCAGCAGCGACCACTCGGAGACTCGGGCTCAAAGTGGAAGTGAGCGAGGGTCAGAGTCCAGCGACGCCAGCGACAGTGAATAAGACGTGCGTCCAGTTCAGCGCCTGCGCGTTCAGCTCCAAACATGGCCGTTGTACACGGTCCTCAAGCTGTAGTTTAGTCTGGGGCTGCGTCTTCTGAGTGACTGCACACATGCTCATATAGACTCCTCTTTTCAACCCAGCTTTATTTGTAGATTTCAGTCACACAGAAGTAGCTGTTTTTACACCGTTCCTCTGTGTTGTCTTTATCAGTACAAGAACATGTGAAGCTGTCTGTGTTCTTTTTGTTTTTCAAACATAAATAAATTACAGGTCTTGTTTTGATCAAATCATTTTTTTATTTTCTAACTTATACATTTACAGTAGGAAACATCAGCTGCTCAGGAAATGATCACACTTCTAAAATGTTTTTTTTTGTTGTTTTTTTTTTTTTTAGCTGTAAAAAGTTTATTCACTTCTATAATGAATGACAGCTCAGAGTAAGAGATCGTTAACAGAGTCGTAAAAGTTGATGTGGACGATGTAGGAGACGCACAGATTCAGCGAAAAAATGCCAGCTGGTTCTTCAGCCAGTCTTCGGTCAAGTCGTCAACGTTTCTTGTTTCAAAGACCTTTTTGAGATAAAGAGACAATGCCACAAATTAAAATACAAATGATGATGATTAAGATAAATTTCCTCAAGTTGCATATATTTTGAAGTTTAGATTGGATGATGCCGTCTCATAATGTCACACATTGTGATCAATAACTCAAATGATCATAAATCTTTAATTCTTATTGAAAAACGTTTTAAATTTTCAAACAAGTAACTTAAAATGGGTGTTTTTTTTCATAGTGTGTCAAAGGTAGAAGTAATCATCCAATTTTAGATCTTAGCATTTCACCACTTTTTTAAATCAAACTTATGAAATGGCATTTGATTGAGATCATGCTTCAAAATCCAGATGAACTGGGTGTCCTAATTTTCCAGTAACTACTTTTGTGAGCTCTGCGGTCTGGACCAGTCGATTCTTGCTGCCTGCGTACATCATCTGCTGCTCTGGTTTACATCCTGGTGAAAAGAGACGGACACATTATCGAACACCTGAAACAATCTTCTGAATTCCGTCATTGCCATTAAGAACAGATTGTGATCAGATACGCCACGCTGACTGACTAACAGCAAACTTGTTGAATTTAAAGCACTTTATTCAAAGCTGAAATAACAGACGCATCTAACAAGGTGAAGTCGGGTCCTCTGGACAGATTCTTGTTGAAGCGTTTCATCTTTTATGCAAAGGACCATCAGACTGAAGAGCTGCATTAAACTCAGTCTTATAAACTTGAAACATTTCAACAACAATCTGTTCAGAGGACCTTGTTAGACTTATCTACCTGGATTATTGATATTGAGCACGGATCAGGAAACCTAGAAACAGTTGTTGAACAAAGATTAACTAGAGGAAATAACATCAGAGGTGAGTGAAACAAAAAAAAACAACATTTAAAGGCTTTTATTGATGCTACAGTTCTTCAAACAACTAAAGAATGCCTACTGTTGAGCATTGGACTGATGGGCAAATGACTGATGAAGTCCTTTGGATGAAGGACGAAACGTTTCAACAACAAAAAAAAAAGAAACCATCCAAATGACTTGACTCAACTTTGTTGGATTTTTTAACTGGATTATTGAGCATGCACTTTGATGTTTTGAACCACTTTGGCTATGGCTGCTTCAGAGGTGTCGACAGGGGAGAGGGCGGGCCCCAGAAACTATATCACCTTCAAACCAGTTGACCCACTATGTGAGTGTGCTGCTTCTGGGACTGAGTTTTTGTGGCTCCTCGGACTGATGAAGTCCTTTGGATGAAGGACGAAACGCTTCAACAACAACAAAAGGAAACCATCCAGATGACTGAACTGAACTTTGTTGGATTTTTACCTGGATTATCAAGCATGAACTTTGATTCCTATCAAAAATTGCTTCCTCGATGCAGCATTTGACAAAGTATCAAAGCCTTTTGTTGCTATTGTTCAGTATCCAGAGTTTGCATAAACTGATAATACCAAACATACACAATGCTGCTCACAATTTAGGCGTGCCAAGCTGAACTTTGCGTTTGGTGAACGTTTTGGGTCTTGAAGGCTGTAACTACTTACCCATAGGACTGGAGAAGATGAAACAGAGGGGGTAAGACACTCGCCCATCATCATGGATGTATTTGTAGCTGTAGACAATGAATGTACGCTGCTGTCAAGGAAGTTCATCTTTTAGTCAGAGTCAAATCGTGTTTTCATCCGACAAACAGCGTTAAACATTTGAACTTTACTTTAGAGGTCGTACAATGCCGAACAATGCAACAGTTGTGTTTCAGACCTCTGCTAAGACTTATTTGTGACATTTGCATAGGTTTTCTTTGGGTGCTTTGGTTTCACTGTAACTTAAATTTTGTTTCTGCCGTTTTATTTGTTCTGTAATGAACTACTCTTTCCTTCTATGCCTGGGCAGGCCCCTGCTCCAGACGCTCTCTGGGAAGCAGGTAAAGCAAACAAGTTCAATTGTGCCATTATTTGGACATCGATAGGATATCTGGGCTGGCGCTCTGGAAGCTCATTCCTCAAGTCATCCATTGAAACATCCTGCAGAGCAAATTAGCACGTTACTTTCAAAGCAGCTAAAATCACTCAACCCCACATTAAAAAAAAAGATGAGCTTGCCTCATATTCCTCCTCAAGGATAACAAGTTGTTTCTCCATGTCTATTTTCACTGGGGGGGAAAAACAGAATTTTTGGCACTTTTCAAATTTACTACTGTGTTGCATTTAATTTCAAGTGCAAACAAAATGATAATCATTACACTTACTGAGAATAGCAGCATTGTTGGTTTCTTTTCGAAATCTAAACTTTCTCAGTTTCTCTTTTAGACTTTCATCCACTTCACACACAACCAGCGAGCTTGACTGTCAACATATAGAATACATGATCAGTGAAAGTTTGTCATTGTAAGTACAAAGTAATGCAGGTGTGTCTGTTTTAAAATGAAGCAAACTGGCCTACAGAGTATAAATTAAAATAAATTTAAACCACACAAACTAAACCATCCCAACACGTTAAAAGCAGGAAATGTTTTGCAGCAATATGCAAGAATCTGATTTCCTGTTTGAAACTGCAGAAGCTGATTGTCTTGCGTCCCAACGTTTAAGCAAACCCAATAAGCTTATCTACAGAAATGATAAATGAAATGTTGCAGATCTTGGTACCAAAGAGAACGTTTAGAATCACAGCATCAGCTTCACTCACCATTTTGACAGGACTCTTTCAGCTTTTTAGTGTGACACCTTGTTGCAACAGTGTCAGGAGATCCTCCTTTAGATGCTAGGGGGAGGACTGACACATGTGACAGGGTGTCGCGGAGCTGCTTCCTCTTTTCTCTGAAAACAATATTGTGTAAGCTCAGCAATGTGTGTTAAAAAATGTTAGTGTACTATTTATTGAATGCATTAAGATAAAAACACACACACTAAACGGATACAAAAACATCAAAGTTCATGCTCAATGGTCCAGGTAAAAAAAAATCCAACAAAGTTCAGCCAGGTCAAACTGGGTTGTCCACTATGGGAGTGTGCTGCTTGTTGGACTCAGTTTGTTGTGGCTTCTCGGACTGATGAAGTCCTTTAGATGAATGACGAAACGTCTCAATACAAAGAAACCGTCCACATGACCTGACTTAACTGTGTTGGATACAAATACACCTTTAAGAAACTTTTTCTGTCACACTCACTGTGTTATTTTGGATTAATTTAACTTCAGATTGCCCATAAAGAAATAAACAATGAAAAGAAACTTCCAGCTGTGCAAAAAAATGCCTTTAAAGCTTGTACAATTATGACACCATAAGAGTTGTAATCTTGGCAGTAAAAATACACACATACCATCAAAAGAAAAAGCCATCCGTCATGCTCACTTCCCGGCATGCTGCAAACTGATAACATCACATCTCCAGTATGACTGCAGATAAAAAGGTGACAGACGAGTTTGCAGCTGGAAAGTGACAGACCTCTCATATACAGTATTGGGTTTGTTATGCTGCTTGCTATTTTTTCACAAAGCTGTGGATTGATCTCATGCGATAGACAAGAGACAACACACTATATCTAAATAACAGGTGTTTTACCTTTGTCTCTTTACAGACTAAGCATTGTGTTGTAAAGAAACTTCTCGATGAGAAGTAGGAGTGATATATTAAAACATGCATCAACATCAAATGATAAAATGAATTCAACATATTTCTCTGTCCATATGTGAGTCCAACTGGACTAAAACAAAGCATCGGTTTAAAAAACACAATCAGCAAAGTCTGCAGAGCTTCCTTTGAAATCATATTAAAACATTACAAAAGTCTGCTGCCTTTGGACACAATTAGAAATGAGGGTTGTGTTAAATGAAATGTTTTAGAAGCTCATCTCAGCTTTTACTCTGAGGCGTTAGAACCATTGCCTCACTTTTACTGTCAATAAATTGGCAAGCTGTTGTAACATATAACTAAATCGTGTTCCCTATCTCTATATTAAAGTAGATGTAGGCACTGCATTCTCTCTAGTCAAAATGGATTTTTGTTATAGTCAAAACTAGCACTATAAAAACATTCATACAAGTGAAAATATTACGGCTTACACACCAGGTGGCTGGGGAAGAGTCTGGGCCTCCCTGCTTAAGCAGCTGCTCCAGTGACCCGACTGAGGAGGATGGATGGATGGATGGATGGATGGATGGATGGATGGACGGACGGACGGACGGACGGACGGACGGACGGACGGACGGACGGACGGACGACTTACATGCCTTTGGCTATATTAGAAAAAAAAAACAATATTAAAAAAAATGGTTAGATGGCCATTCTAACATAGACTGTTGATTAAAACTGGAAATGTATTTAATTTATCCATAATTAATATTTCAGAATTCTTGATGATGTAACTGATTTCCTTTATATGCATTATAATAGTATCAAATATCCAAGTGCTTTCTTGTTAGTTGGAATGAACGTCAGAAATTTTACTAGGAAATACATGTATTGCATTAAATTATCTTTAATGTAGTCATCATTACAAGTCATAATTTGATCTGTTTTATGTGAGAATGACTTCTGATCAGGTTCTTAATATTATCTAAACTGGGAATATTTGAAATATAATCTTGTTGATGGTTATTAGCATTTCTGATGTCCAAATAATGTGAAAAAGGATTCACGAATGACACTTGTAGGTATTTTTATTTATTTATTGCTATTCTCAAAAACTATATTAGAAATAATCAATATATTTTTTCAGTTAATTATTATATGAAACATTTGCTTGCCAGACTTCATTGAATGGAACGTTTTTATCTGTAACTGTGGGCGGTAGAAACTTTACGTACGCGCTGACGTATGACGTTGTGTCTACGTCTTACGTCAACTCAAAAATCGAAGTGGATTTCTCCAGGCGTACACTCCTTATTTTTTGTATTCCACTTAGCGTTTTTGTATATACATTCTTTAGAGTTTTTATCTTTGAAACAACGGAAGGATATTACTGCACTGGGATATTCTTAAGGATTCCTATGTGTGGATTGAAAATCTACGCTTCTTTCAGCTAAGCCAACGTAACTGCAGCTGTTAGCTCTTTGCTATCCCTACTCATACTGTCGAGCTAGCTATGCATTAGCATTTTAGCCTAGCTCTCTGACCTGATACAACTGAGAAAAGGTAAACAAATCTCCCGATTCCGTGTGTTACATCGTCATTTACGAATCTTCAGTTTGTGTTTTATCTGTAACTTGCTCTTGATTGTAATTACATTTTGAATGCTCAGCTTTGTCTCGCTAAAACTGGAGTGCCAGAACGGAGAAAGAGTAGCAACCGCGTCAACGCAAAACAATACAAATCCTGAATCCCTCTTCAGACTAGGCCGACCGGGGGCTAACTCTAGTTTACAGACACCTAATGCTTAGCTACCGGCTGAAATGTTCACCTCGTCCAACAACACCTTAGTGTCAAACGCTTATAATTCACTCAGCTCTCTGTTTCAGTCAGCGTTTAGCTCCGTAATGGGAGTTGCCAGCTCTGACTTCTATTCAGCATTATTTTAAAATATGGATTCATTTTGCTTTCCAAATCAAATGCTCGTCTTCTTGAGCAGCTGATGAATAACATTCTTGTTTGTCAAAAACACAGAGGCTGAATCTTCTTTATTAGATGGCAGGCACATTTTGCTTTTTGATTTCGTCATAAACGCAGGATTGAGATTCTTCGTTTTATTTACACATGCATATTTCTTGTGTTGAACCCACTGAATTCCACACACACGAACATTTTGTTGTAAATGTTTGAAGCTAGCATCCATCATGATGAAATGTGTTTGAGCTATTATTTCCATCTGAGATATTCTTTATGTGCACTCACTATACTCCCTGTTTGTTTTTCACTCAGATATTTTTATGTTCCATCCATTACTTGGTAAATTGGTAACACTTTAACGCACACATGGGATAATATCATGAATACCATTTATTTGTATAAATATTAGCTGAGATTTAAAGACCAAGGCATGCATGTAGTGATTCATTTTATTTTTGTTTGTTTGTTTGTTGGTTTATTAGGGCAAAGATGATGTGATAACGATCATGCCAGAGTGAAAAGAGCCTTTCCCGGTTTGTGCCATTACCTTCAGCAGTTGACTTATTTGGAGCCTCAAGACATCATCTCAAAATCCATACTGAATTCCTGTCACCGCAGCACCTGAATCATGTGAGGGCCCCTCGGTCAAGTCTGAGGGGATCCCAGGACTGTTGGAAAAAATAACCCCGCTGTGCGGGGCAAGACTTTTCCTGTCTCTGTCTGAAAGAGCAGCCTAACCTTCCCCATCCACACATTCCTGTTCTCCTTACCAAGGAGACACGCCATGATGTTCCGAGACCAGGTAGGTATCCTCACAGATTGGTTCAAAGGCTGGAATGAGTGCGAACAGACGGTGGCACTCTTGTCCCTCCTGAAGAGGGTGTCCCGCACCCAGGCCCGCTTTCTCCACATATACCTTGAACACTGGCTGGCAGACTGCACAGAGATCCACATCCTTGAAGCTGAGGCCAACAATGCAGGTAAGTCTCACTAATTAAATAGATTTTTTTTTTTATGGCTATAGATCATTTTATTTGTTTATTAAAAAAAAAAATTAAACTACATGTAAAACTTATATTTGGTAGTGAAATATTAATGTCTGGTTATGTGCTGTTTTTCATTGATCATTAGCAACTGTCAGCCAGTGGCATCAAGAGCCTAAAGAGAAAGTGGTGTCCTTGCTGTTATCCCATTTGCCTCTACTGCAACCACGTAATTCTGAGGCCAAATGTGAGTACATGAAGCTGCTGCAGAAGGTGTTGAGTCACACAATTGAGAGCAGCCTCTTTGTGGAAGAAAGCAGACAGTTGCTCTCCTATGCACTCATCCATCCTGCCACTACTCTGGATGACCGGACCTCACTGGCCATGTGGCTAAACCACTTAGAAGAGCACCTTTCAAGTGGCTATGCATCACGGGCACCGTCAAGCCCATACCATCCATGCCAGGGCTCAGATGAATGGCCGAGCACAGCTGAGGCTCTTGATCCTGGTAATGTTTGGCTCGATAAGCCTCCATCTAGCACATCTTCTGCTGGCCAGAACGGACACATGGCTTTCCCAGGCGGGATGCCCTCACCTATTAACAGCAATAATACAGGTATGGACAGATAACCTGGAGGTGTAGCACGTTAAATATTATAATTCTTATATTTTTCTCATCTAAAGATTGTCATTCTTGTTACTCATTCATGAATTGTTCTGGTGCCAGGTTTGGTTGGGCAGATGCAGCCTAGTCCGCTGAAGAAGCCCATGTCCATTATTCCTTCAAGTCCTCAGACTTGTGGTTCTGAGTGGATAAACCAGGATGACACAGGGGGGCGACAGAACTTCATCCCAACCGACCACGCACCTCTTTCACCCCAAAGCAGCATAGCTTCTTCAGGCAGTGAACAGACAGAAGAGCAGGGCTGCTTTCGCAACACCTTCCTGGAGGATGGAAGTGGCATGAAAGGTCAGAGTTCATTACTTAGCCACAGCCAAAGCACTAACAGCATTAACCTCTGGTATAAACTTGGGGAATTTCATTGATTTAACTTCTTAAGTTTCACTTCATTTTAGTAAAAGATGATCAACAATAATACAAGTGAAAGTAGAAAAACGCAGTCATTAAAATCTTTTATTTCAGCCATTGCTGAATTCTTGACTGTTTTTTTTTTTTGCAACAGCACTGATAAACAAAAGTAAACTTCTCTTTACTTTTTATAATAATGAAGTGAGTTTACGCAATGAAGACAACGATACATTAGTCATTGCAACATGGTCAGAAACCTTTCAGTTTCCAGCAAATTAACTGTAGTGTTCCAGTGATCTAACAAAGTGAAGCAAGCGATAAAACATTAGCCTCAATTTCTCTTCTGAAAAACAAACAACTGAGAGAATCACAAACGGTTAGCAATGGTTTTTTACCCCCCTTTGTTTTAAAAATATGAAAACAAAAAGTAAAGAGTTAACTGTGTATAAGCAGTTAAGAACTTTAATCTCTGGAGTCTGTGCCTCTTTTATTACTTTGTTTTTTGTCCCTTTTGTTTTAGATGTTCCTGCCTGGTTGAAGAGTCTTCGGCTTCATAAATATGCATCACTATTCTCGCAGATGAGCTATGAGGAGATGATGATTCTCACAGAGCAGCATCTAGAATCTCAGGTGTGAAAGCCTCTTTCCCGTCACTGGACTCAGGTTTTGATTTCTCCCCAGTTCGTCTCCTACAGCCCTCAGATTTGATGATACATCAACTCTCAATGAGGCTTGAAATTAAACAACACACCCTACAGTTACAGCGAGCTTGTCACGCATAACACAAGTTGTTCATTTTTACTATCCTTTTCTTCTTGTCTTTAATAAAACAAATGGTGATTAGGTTAGTTATTTAGTGACTGGATAGATTTTAGTGTCCCCTCAAGGAATGACTCTTCAAACCATCCTGTTGTTTTCCATCCCTCCCTTTTAGAATGTCACTAAAGGAGCACGGCACAAGATTGCCTTGAGTATCCAGAAACTGCGAGAGAGGCAAACTGTTCTCAAGTCTTTAGAAAAGGTAATTCAGATGTTGATGTCATGTCAAAAAAAGAAGCAACACTTATTTATTTATTAGTCACTTTCACGCTTTCACTATCAAATACACGCTTGAGTTTTTTTTTTTTAATTCCCTCAGATCATGTGATGCTTGATTTAGCACTGTTGGGAAATTCCTTTTTTGCTAGTTTAAAAAAAAAACCCAGCAAAGTTGATAGAGGTTCATAGAACTCATTTTAGGTGCTTCATTGCAGCATGTTTGCTTTACTAAATTACCGTATTGTTCGGACTATAAGGCGCACTTAAAATCCTTTAATTTTTCTCAAAAATAGACGGTGCACCTTATATATTAATTCTGGTTGTGCTTACTGACCTCAAACTGATTTTATGTGCTACAACTGAACAGTCTTGAGTTATTGTGAATGAGTTGAATAAAGTTTGACTTACATGACTGTTTTGTTTCACTTAATGCGCCTTATAGTCAGAAAAATACTGTAAATCTTCCAACGGTGAAACGGTCCAATCCTAAGTGTAGTTCTGATGATTTAAACGGCACATGACGGTAATGTTGCCTTCTGTTTTTAGGACATTTTGGAAGGTGGAAACCTGCGCAATGCCCTCCAGGAGCTTCAGCAGATCATTAGCACACCCATTAAGCCCTATAGTCCACCAAGTGCAGCACAGCCTGCCTCGGACGTCTCATCTTCATCATCAGAAGTCACAAAAACAGGAGCAGATAAAGAGGCAGCACCAGAAGACTTCCAAACCAACAACCAAGCCCCCGGTGATGGAGACTCCTCAGTCACACCAGTCTCAGATGGCGACATTGCTGGACAGTTTACCCGTGTTATGGGTAAAGGTAAGAATGTTACCAAGATAATAAGCATTCTCTGTGAAGACAAACTGCATATTGAATTAGTGATAGTCTTATAGATATGTGACTGTAAAACGTGTAGAACTAAAGAGAGCATGTCTTCAACACTGACTGATATAATACATTTTAAAGAAAGACCCGAGATTCCATTTACGTCACTTTTTTTATTTTTATTGCACAATACTCAGATGTTTCTCATTTAGTCACATAGGTCTCATTTTCTTTATCTAAGTTTATTCCTTCATTTTAATATCAGCTGCTTGTTCTGATTTCTTGTTGTAAATGAGTATGGTCTTCTCTTATTCTGATACATCATCTTACTCTATGTCCATATTATAAATGTACCAAGTTGTTATTTGCTTTATGAAGCCTTGATTTTTTCTGTTTTAGTGTGCACCCAGCTGCTGGTGTCAAGGCCAGATGAGGAAAATATCAACTGTTACCTTCAGCTAATAGAGAAGTGTCTGACACATGAAGTGAGTTTTAATTTGCTGTTGCTCACTGGCTAAATTCAAACATGTATGGTAAATATTTTTGTGTTTTGTATTTAAATTTGACCTTAACTTACCGTTATCCTCATTTGAAATATATATTTTTTAATTCTCTTGATTTTTAATATTTACACAGCCTTTATGTGAATGATTCAGGATGAATTGACCTGTATGTTGTACTTTTATAACTAATCATGAGTCAAAGCAGCTTGAATTTTGCTCATTATAGTAATGGGAGGGATGCATGATATTGGATTTTTGGCCGATATCCGATATGCCACTATGTTAAAACTTATTTGGCCGATAACCAATATCATTACCGATCATTTTTTCCCCTAGACCTACTTATAGAGCTTTGCTGTGGAATTAAAATACTACATTATTCTGTATGGTCTTTGTCAAATTGACCTGCTACCAAATGCAGATGCCAAAATGGGGACTGAAAATGATGTAACACTTCAACTTGGATTATGTTTAATGTCAAATTTATTCATGACATTTAATCTCTCTAACACAATGACAACACTCGAACAGTGCAGATTTGTAAATTTTCACAAATTAAACTTGTTCACAAGCAACAAGTGAAAAGTGCATAAGTAGTAGTGCATTAATAGATATACTTGACTGCTTCTTAAATGAAAAATTACAATAACTTAAAACAGAAGCCTTTTATATCGGTGAGTTATTTTGATGGAATTGCTGATGTCTGATATTTAACTTTATCACTATTATCAGCTGATACCATGCCGATAATATTGTGCATCCCTAATTAATGAACATATTAGAAATTAGTAATACTTTAAATGAGATATTTTAAAAATGGAAAAAAATAGCTTTTTAAAGCAGAAATTAAAATGTTCTTTTAGAGGCTTCTTTACAAAC